TAGATACGTATAAGAAAAATAAAAATGAATAGGACAGGGACGGTAGGCACGATTGGTGAGCTTATGCACACCCCCTACAGGCCTCTTAGGAAAGGGGTGACATCAATAGTAGACAGTCTAAGGTTAAAGTTTTGGGGGTTTGGGGAAGAAACCACAGAGTCAGGTAGAGTATTCCAGACATTGACCACTCTGTTGCTGAAGTCGTATTTTCCGCAGTCAAGTTTGGTGCGGTTAACCTTGAGTTTGTATCTATTGTGTGCTCTTGTATTGTTATGACTGAAGCTGAAGTATTCATTTGCAGGTAGGACATTGCAATGTATGATTTTATATACTATATTTAGATTGGACCGGAGGCGGCGTAGTTCTAGATTTTCTAGGTCTAGAGTTTCAAGTCTGGTGGCATAAGGTATTCTGCAATGAGTAGAGGAGCAGAGAACTCTTCTTGTTAAATATTTCTGGACTTTTTCAATTGTGTTAATATCAGATACATGATATGGGTTCCAGACTGATGAGCTGTATTCGAGTATTGGTCTAGCAAATGTTTTGTATGCTCTAGTTAGTAGTGTAATATTACCAGGGAAGAAGCTATGTAGGATTAGATTAACAACTCTTAATGCCTTTTTGGCTATGTAGTTGCAGTGGGCTCTAGCACTTAGATCATTAGAGATGAGTACTCCAAGGCCCTTGACAAAGTTTGGATCCTCAACAAGGTCTTGACTATTTAGCTTGTATTTTATTTTCGGATTTTTTCTGCCAATATGTAAGACAGAGCATTTATTTGTTGAGATTTGAAGTTGCCATTTGATTGACCATGCTGATACATAGTCACACCAAATTCCATTCTGATCAGCGAAGTTCTTTTAAGCAAAAGGGAACTTGCATTTCAAAGGAGAAAAAGTGGGTGGGAAGCTCCCAAAACTGGTTCAGACTTGTTGATGGGGCTGCCTAGGCCTCTTGCACGGGCTTAAGAGAGGATAGATAGAGTGGTTCAGTTTCCTCTTCAGTTTCCTGGAGGCACAGAGTTCACTCTTCAGTTAAGTCACTGTGCTTCAGAGGCCGGACTCACAACTCATTCCAACTTGATATACTATCCTAACCCAACCTCTCCCATTCAGCATGTTGTTCAACCTTATCCAATTTTGTAATTTTTCAAAAAAGAAAACTATCCGATTTTTAAAATTGTAAATCTGAAATTACTATTGCATGAACCTTTCCAGAGTGTGTAACTTTTTTTTACTATGTAATTTGGTAGGATGGAGATATGTATGTATGTATGTATGTATGTATGTATGTATACACATACATACACATACATACACATATGCTTCTCCTTTCCCACTATGCTAAAACCAAAGTTCAGACAGTTTCCTTTAAGCTCCTGGTAACTACAAAGACACCTAACCAATGGGTGGAAACTAATCAAGGAAAGAAGCAACTCAGAACTAAGGAGAAATTTCCTGAGAGTTAGAACGATTAATCAGTGGAACAACTTGCCTCCAGAAATTGTGAATGTTCCAACCCTGGAAGTTTTAAAGAAGATGTTGGACAACCATTTGTCTGAAATGCTATAGGGTTTCCTGCCTGAGCAGGGGGTCGGACTTGATGATCTCCAAGGTCCCTTCCAACTCTGTTATTCTGTTAAATAATAGCATGGGAAAACCACATTTGTCCTCCATTCTGCCCTCCTTCAAAGAGCATGAAGAAATAGTATCAACCTCATAACACCACTTCTAGTTTGGAACATCTTAGTCGCTAGAGTTAACTCTGATTTTCCTTAACACACCTTAGGAGCGAGCTAAAGGTAGTCCTTGACTTACGACCATGATGGAGCCCAAAATTTCTGTTGTTAAGTGAGACATATATACATATACATACATACATACATATATACATACCTATTACAGAAACACTCCTCACATGCACTTTTTCCTATGCAATGTTCCATAGAACATATGTTTTTCTGCCACTTCAACAAATATAAACCAATTCTGTCACGTCTATGAATTAATATGGACTTTCCCTTTTTCCTTGCCAAGAATACCAGATGTCCCCATTCTCAGCTGATTTCTATCATCTCTGCTATAAGGCAGCCTAAACTTCCCAACAAAAGTGCCCTTTTTTAACACTTCTATTTCTAATGACATTCGACAAACATCACAAAAATCAGTGCTGTTGAACGGTTGCTAAATGAATGATTATAAGAAGGACCACCTGTATTCTTCCTTATACATTGCATCACTACTTTTTCTCTAGAGATACTAATATTAATTAAAGCTTTTCCATAGCTTTTAGTATTGTAATAGTTCTACATATTTTAGATTGGGTAATTTTACTATCCTTATTCTCAACAATCCTTTAGTTGC